GCTTCGCGGTTTGCTGGGCAGCCTCCAGACCCTGCGCCCCCGGCTGGGCGCTTCCCCTCCCGGGCTCCAGCTGCGCTGGGGAAGCGCCGGCTGGGGGTGCAGGGCCTGGGGGCTGCCCGGCAAACCCTGAAGCCGGTAGCACTGGGGCAGCCCTTTCCCCCTGGCTGGGAGTGGAAGGGAGGAGGGGGCGGAGTTAGGGTGGGGAAGGGGCGGGGCTATGGGGTGGGGAAATGGGCGGGGCCAGGGCCCGTGGAGGGTCCTCTTTTTTTATTTGCTGGATATGGTAACCCTATTCTTGTGTCTTGCTTACAACACTCCTGCTAAGACATCTGTAGCAAAGCAAAGACTCACTGGCACAGCGCCTCCTGCTGGTTGTTCTGGGAATTAGCTCTTGTCCAGCCCAGAGCACCCTCTCCTGGCCAGTGTCTCACCTGGTGCTGGCCCCATGTCCCTCCCAGACCCCGGTGCCCCTTTACGTCAGGGTTCTGCCCCAGCAGTACCCCCATACTCTGGGTCTCCCCTCCCAGGGGAACCCCCAACCCTCTATCCCCATCTTGCCTCAGTGACTACTGCCAGTCATCATCTAACCCCTGCTCACTGGGGCAGACTGCAGTCTGTAATGGCCACTCATCATTGGCAAGGGGGTTAGGACCTGATGCCTTTTCCTATCCCCAGGCTGCCCCTCTGCAGCCCCAGTACCTGTCCAAGGCTTTCAGCAAGGCATGCAGCCTGTGGGTTTACCAGGCTGGAGCTCCCCAGCTCCCTTTGCTCTTCCGCAGCATTGCTCCACTTCAGGTACCGTGTGTCCCCCAGCAGCTCGGCCCTCTTCCTCCAGAGCTGGAGAGAGACTCCCCCAGCTTCTGGCCCATAGCCCTCTTATCAGGGCCAGCTGGGCCCTGATTGAGCTGGCCACAGCTGTGGCTGCTTCCCCAATCAGCCCAGTTTTTCCCAGCCACAGCCCTCTCCAGGGTCTTAAGCGGCAATTCGGTGGCGGGTCCTTCACTCTCCCTTTCTTCCTCTTCTCACTGAAACCCAAAGAGCTGAAACTGAAGCTGATTGCCAATTACTATGTGAAAAAAATATGATTATGGGCTTTCCTGGGTGGAAGAAGTAAATTCAAATATTGCTGCAAAAGGTGAATCTCAAAATGAAGTTGAGGAACTGGAAGAGGAGATGTCGAACAGGTGCATTCTGTCATAATCGACACATAGTCCCATCTCAAAAATAAACTTAGATTAATAAACCATGGTCTATCTATGTTTCTGCTATGATTTTATTTTCTCTGTACTGAAGCTGTATATCACACTGTCAGTTTGAGGCAAAAGAGATCCTGGACTCTGATGAATGTTACTTTTGTCCTGTCTTTTTGTTTTTCTTAATTTAAAATAAAAAGGCCTTTCAAACAGCATGTGAGAGAGAGAGAGAGAGAGAGATCTAAGGAAGGCAGCAGCGTGGGCCTGCTGCCCTAGACTTCACAAAATGCCGGGGCGGAGGAAATTAACAATCTCTTAGCTTTCATGATAACCACAGCAAATAGCTCTACTGCACGTGATCGAACTGGGAACTTGTCCTTCATCACTGGCACTCTAGATTCCTTCCCTCTCACAATATTGGTTCCATGTCATCCATGAACTGTAGTGACCTGCAAGGGCATTATGAGAGGGAAAGGCCCCTAGGGGCCAGTGTGTATCCTATTAGGTTATTAGCACAGAAAGTTCTTGAATCGACCAGCATTCATTTTCTACATTAAAATCTTATGTTCTGTGAAAGGCTGAGGCATTCAATATGCTCCATGACCAGAAATGGGCTAGAACTTCAGCAGCTAAAATCAGGTGACATTTCTCTTTCATAGCAATACTGAATCTCAGCTTTTTTCCTCCCAGGAATATCCACGATGATCCCTTCAGCTGCAGCAACCCCTCCCAGCGACGTGCTTTTCCCCAGCCTGTCTTGTCAGGAATTCTGGAGGTCACAGATCTCAGGCTATTCCGGATCTGTCACTCGCCACATCAGTCATCGTGCCAACAACTTTAAAAGACACCCAAAGAGGAGAAAACACATACGCCCCTCCCCTCCACCACCCCCAAATACACCATGCCCTATTGATCTGATTGACTTTGGGGATCTCCACCCTCAGAGATCTTTCCTAGAACTGCTGTTTAATGGGTGTATTCTCTTTGGGATCGAGTTCAGCTATGCCATGGAAACAGCCTATGTGACTCCTGTGTTGCTTCAGATGGGGCTGCCGGATCAGTTGTATGGAATGGTGTGGTTTATCAGCCCAATACTAGGTAATTTTTTTTACGCTAATTTTACCCTCCTGCTTTTCCACTTCACAAGGGATTAGTTTGACACTGAGTTCTTTCTTTTTTTTTGCTATTTAATTTACTTTACAGGTTTCACACATGTGATGTGGAAGTTGGAACCACTACCCATAATTTTAGAGAACAAAATGGAGAATATACCTCACTGGCCCTGGCGAAGGAGGGCGAGATGTGACCAAAGAGGGATTTCTCATTACTGATTTCTGAGTCTATTTTTTATTTGCAGCCAACATACTTCCAGAATTTTGGCTACTCCATTTGTATATTTAAAAATTAATTTAAAAAAAAGTCAAGGAACTAACTTCTATTGACCCAACAGAAAGAGGGGGAGAATATGGAGACTAAACCTCTCTGGGCCTGTCAGCTAGCAGGGTGGGAAGGTGGGGGTAGCTTTGAGTTAAACAAGGCATCCCAGGGATGAAGTAAATCTACTTGAGTCCAGAGTTTTGCTTTCTGTTGGGGTTGTGGCATATTCCTCTGAACAGACATGGGGTGAAAGGTGTATTCTTCTGTAAAGGAAGAATAACAGAAAGTATTATTCCACAACTTGGGTAACATCCTTCTGTCTCTTTGTACTTTTAAAACTGATTACAGAAGAAGAGAAGAAATAATTCCTTTCCTCAGTCACTGAATCCCTACCTGGCCCAGGATAATCCAGGCAACATTCAGATTTACACATTGACTTACTGCTAGCCTCATAAGGAAGTTCCGGTTTAAGGCAGTAAAGTCGTTCATACAGAACAGAGCACTTCACGGGATAAAATAATTGCCCATTCATTTTACACTTTTTGTCAAACTCCACTGTTATTTTGAAGTGGATTGGATTGTATGGATTGTATTGTGTCAGACTGGTACCAGCTGAGCATTACACAATGTACTACAGTTTACAGCTTCCACTCCAGGAAATTCAAAGAAGTAAATAGTGCAAAAGCCTAGGGTCCAGATTTTTTACGGTATTTAGGTCTTGCTGTACTCAGCATTGCAACACTTAACTGATAAGGCGCCTAAATCTCATTTCCAAAGTCATGTAGGCACTTAGGAGCCAAAATTTCAAGTGCCTATGTCCCTTTTGAAAATAAGATTTAGGTTCCTAAATCAATTAGGCATAGCAACACCAAGCACAGCAATGCCTAATACTTTTCAAAATCTGGGCATAGATGACTACTATTGATCGAGAAGGTCACACTCTGCCTTAATGATGCAATTCCTGCCTTTTAAACTTCCCATTATGAAGTCTTGGTGAAACAAGATGGTTACAGAAATGTCCATTACTTATGAGTCATTTTTGTTTCAGGATTCCTGCTGCAGCCTTTGCTGGGGGCCTGGAGTGACAGATGCACATCAAGATTTGGCAGGAGGCGGCCCTTCATTCTGGTCCTGGCAATAGGTGTGTTTTTCTTTTTTTAAATATAAAAGCAAAATAACTTTAAATCTCAAAATATGTAAAACAGACAGTGAAAAACCTCTTCTCCCGGGCAGTGTTCTCTTGTTCCCCTCTCCTCCCTGTGCAATGCTCTGACCTGGAAAGCCCCATTCCCCTTCCCCTCAAGTGTGCAGGGTGGTGAGTGTCACAGCTGGTGAACAAAGCATAGGACTGGGGTCCAAGACCTTGACTTCTAATTCCAGCCCTGACACTTGCCATGTGGCTCTGGTAGACATCAGCACCAGCCCGGGCACCAGCAATATTCAGAGCCCAGGAGCCCAGCTCCACCAATATTTGGGGCCGGGTGTCCCCCCCCGGCCCCACCTGCCGCCTCCCCTGAGTGTTCCCCGGCCCCCTCTTGCCTTCCCAGAGCCCCTGGAGCAGAGCGTCCCTGTCTCTCCCATGCAGCTCCATGCTGCCTCCCTGCAGCAACTGCTGCCGCAGGGTCCTAATGCCCCCCTTTCTCTACTGCCAGGGCAGACTGACTCTGAGCCTGCCCTTCCCCCTCAGGCCCTTCCCTTTTCCGGCGAGACCTTCTACCAGCACAGACTCCCCTCCCCCCCCGCCCGCAGTCACTGCTCCTGCCCCACGCTGGGCAAGGGGCAGCCCCATCCCTCACCCCCAATGAGGCTACAGTCAGGGGCAACAGCTGGGGAGGAGGTGCACGCAGTATCCCCCAGCACCCACCACGGGGGAGGCAAGGGAGATTCCTGGACCCGAGAGGGGCCCTAGGAGCACATGCAGTGACAGTGGTGGGGGTGAGTGTCCTGCTGGGGGGGCGGGAAAGGAGGGTTCCTCCCCCAGAGCTTGCTGCTACTGGCAGGGAAAGGGCTGTGGGGAGTCCTCCTCTCTGGCCCCCGTCCCGGAGCAGCCTGCCTGCACCCCAAACTCAAACTCATACCCAGCCCTACCCCACCCCAGAGCCCACACCCCTAGTCAGAGCTTTCACCCCCACACCGCACCCTCAATCCTCTGCCTGAGCCCTGAGCCCCTCCAGCACCCCAAACACCTTATCCCCAGTCCCAGCCAGAGCCCTCATCCCCTCCACACCCTGACCCTCTGCCTGAGCCCCTCCCATACCCCAAACACCTCATCTCCAGCCCCAGCCAGAGCCCTCATCCCCCTGCACTCCAACCCTCTGCCCCAGCCCTGAGCCTCTCTAACACCCCAAACTCCCCAGCCCCAGACAGAGCCCTCACCCCCACACTCCTACTCTCGCCCTGAGCCCCTCCCACACCCCAAACCCCTCATCTGCAGCCACAGCCCTCTCCCCACACCCCCTCCCCCTGCACCCCTTCCCTTCCCCAAACTCCCTCCCAGAACCTGCACCCCCTCCCTCCACACCCACTCCCATCCCCAAACTCCCTCCCAGAGCCTGCACCCCAATCCCCTGCCTAGGGCCTGCACCCCAGATCTCCTCCCCCACCCAAACTCCCTCCCAGAGCCTTGGGCAGGTGGGGGGTGGAGTTGGGGCGGGTTCTGGGCACCACCAAAATTTCTACAAACCTGCCATCCCTGCTGGTAGAATCTCTGGCCTTCACTACACCAGTTTCCTTTTCTCCATAAGAGAGGTGCTGTGAGCTTTAGCTGGTTAGTGTTTGAAAATGAGGTGTGTGTGCAATGGTGTTTGGGTTGAATTTTACACTTAATCCCATTTGCTGACCTCAGCTTTTAGTTTCCTCAAAAGCAGAAGGGATTTATAGTTGGTCAGAGAAATACATAGACTATTGCCCATATAGCCTTTACCAGAGTGAAAGCCCCAACATGAGGGGGCCAGAGAGGTTCCCTGTTCCAGGGGAGAGTTATGGGGCTCTCTAGAGTTTGCTGGGGCTGACAGATCCAGAGAGGCAGGAGTCTTCTAGTTTGCCTCTGGCTGAGTCTCCCTACTGTTGTGCAGTAGCCCGCAGGAAGGGGAAGCAAAGGGCAGTTAGTGTTTCAAGCAGCATTCCCTCCTATATCTGCTGCACTTGCAGTGGATGGTGCTGTTGAGTGTGGACAGTCTATTCCCCACACCCTACCATGAAGCTCCTTCTATGTGGAGCTCCCGTAGAGGGGTATCTATAGGGTTTCAAGGAGGGTGGAACAGTGCTACATCTAATCTTTGAGCTATGTGTGTGATTCCCAACTCATGTACGCATACTCGCACCGGTTCTCATTGAGCTAGCACAAGTCTAAATAGTAGTGTAACCATGGTAGCATGGGTAACAGCAGCAGAGGCATGGCTTAGCTATACTAAGTACAAACCTGTGGGAAATTGGTGGGAATGTACTCAGTAAAACTAAGCCATGCTGTCACTGCCTGTGCTATTGTGGCTACATTATGATTTATAATTGCAATAGCTTGATGAGAGCTAGTGTGAGTATATGTATGTTACCTGGGAACTACACCCCTAGCTTGTAGTGTTGACAGAGGGCACTCTCCCACTGCCTCTTGTGTGGGCAACTAGAGATGTATATGCATGGAAGCATCCTGTCTGCTCAAAGATCTGGAGAGATCTAGGCCTATGTGAAGGACTGTCAGCAGAAAGGAAATGCTACAAACAAACAAACTATGGAAAGTGCTCATTAAATTTTGAGGTTGGATCTAAGAAGAGCAAATAATTCAGTTAGTTTGGACATTGTCGGGAACAGAGATCCAAAATCTTTCCATAAACCACACAGAACCCCTGGTCTGTGGTGATCTGACTGTGAATGAGGCTACCTGCTGTACTGAGTTTAGTGTAGAATAACAGTTGGAGAGCAGGGAAGGATGGGCCTTCATAATTTTTTCCTCCCGGTTGATCTAATTTAATTCCTTGTTCCTAGGAGCATTATTGGGGCTCTCACTTATGCTGAATGGAAGGGACATTGGCAGCGCCTTAGCTGACACTGTGAATAACCATAAATGGGGGATCATTCTCACAATCTGTGGGGTGGTCCTAATGGACGTTAGTGCAGATTCGGCAGACAATCCCAGTCATGCTTACATGATGGATGTGTGTAGCCCAGTGGATCAAGACAGGGGGCTTAACATCCATGCTTTGTTAGCAGGTATGCGCTTTTATTTATTCTTGCATGGTATATAGCCATTTAGCTATGAGCAGACAAGATTCAATATAGAATAGCATGGCACAAATGTGTGTATATACCAGGGGTAGGCAACCTATGGCACGCGAGCTGATTTTTCAGTGGCACTCACACTGCCTGGGTCCTGGCCACCCGTCCGGGTGGCTCTGCATTTTAATTTAATTTTAAATGAAGCTTCTTAAATATTTTAAAAAGCTTATTTACTTTACATACAACAATAGTTTAGTTATATATTATAGACTTATAGAAAGAGACCTTCTAAAAAAGTTAGAATGTATTACTGGCACGTGAAACCTTAAATTAGAGTGAAGACTTGGCATACCACTTCTGAAAGGTTGCCAACCCCTGGTATATACTATGGGTCTTTGAACTGTAAAGATACATACAGCTTTGGGTTGGGGAACTGTCTCTTTTCCTCTACTATAAGCATAACTCAATAGGTAACTTCAGTAATTTAAAAAATAAACAGTGTATAAATTATAGTAACTTTGTGATATTTTGCCCTTTATCAGTTTGGGTTTTATTGTCAGAGTTTCACAACAAATGTAAAAATAGAAATAAACTAAATTCTTGAGCAGCTCTTCATGAGACCCCCCTCAAACAGATGTGGTAGCAATAATATTCACAGAGAGAGGAGATGAGAATACTCAGGCGAACATACCATTTTTATTGGCTTTATTGGAGGAGGCAAATCCTGCTGGGTGCCCTAAACCAGCTGACCCTTATTTTCATTGTTAGCTGTCAAACTCTGCAGTCTAGTTTTCCTCTTTCAACAGATTTATAAAACATTCTTCTGTATTGCCCTATATATGTGTGTGATGAAAGAAAGGACATTGGCCTAAGGCTGTCACCACATGAATGGCGCTTGTATAATTTATATATTTTATATAGTGTTTGTTTTAAACAGTGTTGCCACTTCAAATGTGTATCCAGCTCATTATTCAGTAAATTGAGCTAATCTGACTCTGAATACACACAGGGAAAAGCTTCCTATTGAGATGAAGGATCAATTTTAACTTCTCCACTTTTCAGAGGAGAAATGCACTTTAATCCTAGAGCTATTCCATAAGACAGGTAAGCATCACTGTTGTCATTTTACAGCTGGGGACTCTGACACATACAAAGGTTAAGTGACTTGTCCTAAAATGAACTGGCAAATCTGGGACTAGAGCTGGCTTCAAGTTCTTTATATCAGTTACTTGTGCAGCATCAACCCCCTTGTCAAGGCTCCTTCCCCATTCTGAACTTTAGGGTACAGATGGAGGCCTACATGAAAACTTCTAAGCTTAACTACCAGCTTAGATCTGGTCCGCTGCCACCACTCCCAATGTGCTAATTCCCTTCCCTGGGTAGCCTTGAGAGACTCTTCACCAATTCCCTGGTGAATACAGATCCAAACCCCTTGGATCTTAAAACAAGGAGAAATTAACCATTCCCCTCCTTTCTCCCACCAACTCCTGGTGGATCAAGATCCAACCCCCTTGGATGTAAAAACAAGGAAAAATCAATCAGGTTCTTAAAAAGAAGTCTTTTAATTAAAGAAAAAGGTAAAAATCATCTTTTGGGTCAGGTGTCAGCCAGGTTACCTGAGCTTCTTAACCCTTTACAGGTAAAAGGATTTTTGGAGTCTCTGGCCAGGAGGGATTTTATAGTATTGTACACAGGAGGGCTGTTGCCCTTCCCTTTATAGTTATGACACCCCTTCCCCTCTCTGTGTCATCATTAATGTGCTTTTGGTGCAGGCTATTGTATTGTTTAGTATTGTATTTAAGAGAGAGAAATCTTTAAAGTGATTAACTAGGAATTGGGAATGTAGCTCAGAACTCATGATTCAAATGTTGCTGTGTTTCATTGCCTTTTTTCTTTAGGGATTGGCTGGGGAAGGTAATCTTAATCTATTTTCCCCACCAGGTCTTGGAGGTGGCTTTGGTTATGTTGTTGGAGGAATAAATTGGGATAAAACCAGTTTTGGAAGAGCTGTGGGAGGGCAGCTCCGTGTCATCTATGTCTTCACAGCAATAATATTGACTATCACTACTGTCTTGACTCTAATTAGCATTCCAGAAAGACCACTGCAGTCTTTTAGCAAGAAGAAAAAAGTGATGAAGAGTCCAAGTCTTCCTCTTCCTCCTTCTCCACCTCTTTTGTTTGAGGAAGGTATAAATGAAAATCTCAGTTTTACAAGTCCAATTTCCCCTCTGAGCCCACTCACACCTAAATATGGCAGTTTTAACAGCAGAGACAACTCCTTGACAGGAATTAATGAATTTGCATCATCATTTGGGACCTCAAATATTGACAGCGTACTCATAGACTGCTTCACAGGAGGGTATGATGGCTATTTAGCAATCCCAGCTAGCTTGCCGAGACAGGCAATCAGTGTCAGCTTTCCCAGGGTGCCAGAGGGCTTTTACTGTCAAGAAAATGGAATCCTGGACCAAGGGGAGAATTCTGTAAATCCAGGGCCAGATGGAGATGCACTAAGGGTGGGTTCAGTGGATGCAATAAAGCCACGATCAATAGGGATTCTGAAAAGGCCTCAGACCTTGGCCATTCCAGATGTTGTCACAGGATATTGTCCAGAAAGTAGCAGGAGAAGAAACGTAACCTTCAGCCAACAGGTAAGGGGAGAAAATATATCCAGAAACAATGTCATGACCGTGTAATTTGAACATTCATTTAATCTTGTTAGATAGTTTTACCTTTTATTTTAAAATGCCTAAATATATACTTTTATCATAATGACTGACTTTTTTTGTTTGTCTATGCACACTTGTGATTAAGGGCTCTTTGTAACAGCTTGTTTATGAAAGCTATGATGGGAATACAATATAAGAACTCATAATATGAGTCTATTAATAAGAGGGAGAGGATTTCGAGAACAAAAATTAGTAAGAGATTGCAGGAAATTATTTATGATTTGGACTCTCTGCCAGGGAATAATGTGGGCCTTTTCCCACCCCTCAGACAATATAACACAAGGTGCAGAGGCAAATTATCTGCATCAGCATTTCTGAGGTTAATAATGTTAGCCACAATTGTTTCACAGCCCATGAAATGATAATCAAAGTAATGGTGGGTGGGGATGCGTTTTGCTGTGAGCATCCCCTCATGAAGACTACTACCCATGTTCTCATCAGGAAAAATGAGATTTTCCAGCTCCTGGGAAAAGGTTGGCCCTAAACCTAGTGGTTTCCTGGGAATCTGCAGGAGGCCAGGGACCTCTATGCTGGTACATAACGGGAGCAGAAATGAGGCAACTGTCCCGTTATGTATGTTTATTTTGCTGTCTTTTTACCCATTTATACATTTTGTGTTTTGAAACATGTTTAACATAAATATTTTTTGCCATCATATTTCTGTTTTCAGGCTTGTGAATGAGCTCATTTTGTATAGGGAACGCATTCGGCAGCCCTTTGTAAACATGAGCCAACCTCAGCCAAAGATAGCCTGATATTAGCAGGTGCAACACCCATGTAAATCTTTTAGCAAAATTCAGGAGTGAAATAAATGGTGGTGTAAATTACATGCTAGGTGTAAGTTGGTCTTAAAAGGTGCAGGAGGGAATCGGAAGTACTTTAACATGCACCAACTAGACATTCAGTAGCTGTGCAAAATGAGTGTAATTTACCACTGTGAGTAAAATCCTAGCTTCCCTGACTTCAGTGGGGCCAGGATTTCACCCCATGTGTGTATGGAATAGTAGGAAAAGCAACTAACATAAGTGTGTAAATTAAAGGAGGTCCTTTTGTCTGCACCACCCCTACTATTCCTGCGGCCAAATGCACCCCTGTTATGAGTACAGCTCCTATTCACTTCAATTGGATTCATGTCCACTTATGCCAGTATTAAATTTGGTTCCCAAAGAAATCCATAAGAGTGAAAGATACTTGTTTCAAATCCACTGAAATCCAGAACAGTGCACAGAACACTACTTTGCATTTTATGATTAACTTATTTACTCCATTGCTTGCATCCCCACTGAATCTAGACTCATCTTTATTCTCAATGTTTACTTTTTATGGCAACACTCTCAGTGACCTCAAAGAAATGTAATATAACACAGCTTTGTTTTTATATTGTTTTCTGATTTGGAGTTCTTATGGTGCAGGTTGCTAATATTTTGCTGAATGGTGTGAAGTATGAGAGTGAGTTGAATGGATCCGGTGAGATGTCTGAGCAATCACTTTCCATGAAACTTCTTTGTTCAACCATCTGCCACATGCCCAAGACTCTGCGTAACCTCTGCATCAACCACTTCCTAGGTAAATCTGCAGTGTCATGTTGTTTTCACCATGAAAGTAATCATATTTTCCTTCAGAAGAAAATGGTTTAAGAATCAGTTTAGATTAATATTTTGAAGTGTTTGATCTATTGTGGTTGTCCCTTGCTTAGGACTACTGACTAACTGGGTCTTAATTTTCTCCACGGAGGTGACTGATAGTATTCCAAACTCCAGAAAGTCTCTTCTGTTTCTTCTATAACTAGATTATTTTCTGCCATAAATAAAGAATACATATTTATTTTTATCAAGAAAATAATTCCTTGTTTATATCGGCACTAAGGAAACCTACCTCTGATTAGGGTGAGTATATGTACTGGGACACACAAGAAACTGAATTAGGAGCAGACTTTATAAATTGAAAATTCTATCATTAAAAATTATTTTACAAATCAGCCTCCTTTGACATTGTCCTCTGGTACTGGACTTCTTACTGAATGAGCGTTTATCTGCTAAGAGGCCTCTAAGGGCATTTCTAGATGAAACTCACTGTGCAGTAAACTGGCGTGTTAATCTTCAGAGCTCCAGTGTGCTATCCACTACCTGTCCGTTCCCTAGGGAACTCTTCATGTGGACTCTGCGCACAGACTGTTAATGTGCAGTATGCTGGACCTCTGTAGATTTATACCTTAGCTTACCACACAGTGTGTGTTCATTTAGACATGCTGTAAGGATAATGATGGGTGATATTTTCTTTTATTTGTGCCAGGGACACTCTCATGTGAGTCAACACAGGGTTCAACTCTTTTTCTACTCCTGTTCCATGTGTACATGAGGCTCCCTAAGAAAGATTGTAAGAGACATGGGCTGTGGTATTTTCAGTATTCTGATGGCAATCAGCTCTACACCTCCATCACCTTCCATCTATTAATGCAGTGGCCAAGTGACTGTCGAAGGCTTGATGGGTCAGGCTCAGTTTAGAGAAGACTGAGTTAATATTAATAAATTGGCAGAAGGAACCAGATTAACTGTTGCATCAGCATCCTTGAGTGAGGGAGTACAGCCACTATTTGCAACATGCATTCGCTGCTATGGAATTTTATTGAACCAGAGTATGCTGCTGGAGTCCCAGGTAGTCGCCATAACTAAAAGCACTTTTCCCATCTGATTTTGGAAAGATCAGTGCAGCCATTTCTCTCAGACCTTGCTACACTAATCGATGTCTTTGTCATCGCAAGACTAGACCACTATGATGTGCTCTGTGAAAGCTACATCTTGAATCCATTCAGAAACTGAAGCTAGTTCAGAATTCTGTAACCCATTTGTAGTTTCTCTTGCTCTGATCAATGCTCTGACCAGTGCAGTCTGCCTTTGGTGATTCCAGGTGGTGTTCAAGGGGTAGGTTTTAACCTTTAAAATGCTGACTGACTTTGATGCAGATTACAGTACAGTATAGAGAGAGAGAGAGAGAGACAGTGTCTCAGGTAACTCCCATGATGATAAGGGCAACCTGTGGAGTATATTATAGACTGTTACACAGTTTGTTTACTGCTGGGACTTCTAAAATATGGAAGAGCATCCAGAGCTTGGAGTGGGAGCTTAAAGATGCCATTCAAATTTAAATAAATAAATATTGCTTCTGGCTTCTTCTAGGTTGGCTCTCGTTTGAGGGAATGTTGCTGTTCTACACAGACTTCATGGGAGAAGTGGTGTTTCAAGGCAATCCTAAAGCCCCTCACAACTCTGATGAATATCAAAAATACAATGCTGGGGTCACCATGGGCTGTTGGGGAATGTGTATCTATGCATTCAGTGCTGCATTCTATTCAGGTACTAAGCAGAGCTTTCTCCCATACTGCTGAGAGAAGAACAAATTGCCTCTGAAAAGCTGCTTCTGCAGTATAGAATGTTGTTTTGAGCTTGGCATTTATATTGCAGATTAGTGTGCTACATGAAGGTTTTTCTGCCCTAAAATCTTTTTTTTTTAATTAGCAGTTCTTGTCTGTCTATATACTATTTCTGTTAGTTAATACTTGTTAGCATTGACAGCACAGACATCCAACAGTCTAGTCACAATAAAAAAGTTGTCATTGTATAGCACTGTTCATAAAGTAATCCACAGCTTCACAAGACTCTTGTGAGGTAGGTGAACTGAGGTATGGGGGAGTTGCACACCTCATAGCTTGTGTAAGCTGAGCATTTTGTACGCACCAAGGGTTCCTTGCCTCCCTCAATTTTCCCACATAAGCTCCCTGTATGCTACCATCCCACGTGCCTCTATTGCAGAGACTTCCTGTAACTCCCCTGCAGCTGCTAAGGATTCTGTGTGCCCTGCATTCACACACCCACACACCCTATGTACAGGGAGAATTCATCCTTCCACCCATATGCACAGGGACACAGTCCCACATGCAAAGTGGGAAATGTGGCTATGAAATTACTGTAACGTGTGTACACAACTGATTGAAAAACTGTACTCAGAATAGTTATCAATGGTTTCCTGCCAAACTGGGAGGACATTAATAGTGGGGTTCCACAGAGGTCTGTCCTAGGTCCAGTACTATTTAATATTTTCATTAATGACTTAGATAATGAAGTGGAGAGTATACTTATCAAGGTGACATCAAGCTGGGAGGAGTTGCAAACAATTTGGAGGACAAGATTAAAATTCAAAATGACCATGACAAATTGGGGAACTGGTCTGAAATCAACAAGATTAAATTCAGTAAAACAAGTGCAAACTACTGCACTTAGGAAAGTAATATCAAATGCACAAATATAAAATTGGGAATAACCGTCTAGACAGCAGTGCTGCAGAAAAGGACCTAGGAGTTATAGTAGGTCACAAGTTTAATATAAGCCAACTGTGTGGTGCAGTTGTGAAATAGGCTAATATAATTGTGGGGTGCATTAAGAGGAGTACCTTATGTAAGACTGAGGGGGAACCTAATAATAGTTTTCAAATATGTAAAGAGGATGGTGGTCAATTGTTCTCAATGTCCACTGAAGGTAGAGCAAGAAATGCGATCAGTTAAATCTGCAGCAAGGGAGATTTAGAGTAGATATTAGTAAAACCTTTTTAACTACAAAGGATAGTTAAGTACTGGAATACGTTATTAAGGAAGGTGTGGAATTCCCATCATTAGAGGTTTTTAAGGACCCATTAGACAAACACCTCCCCGAGATGGTGTAGGTATGCTTGGTTCTGCCTCAGCACAGGGAGGTGGACTAGATGACCTCTTGTGGTCCCTTCCAGCCCTCCATTTATACAATTCTATCCATTGGTAGGATAGACAGAGATGAGTTAGGACTACTGTTATGCTGGAAGACATTAATGGGTACCATCTGTCAGTTGTTTGATCTAAAACAATTGCTGGGGGGCTTAAAATTATGGCTGTACTAAAGAGCTGGCAGGGCTTCATGTGGCCCCTATTTCCCTCCTTTCCGCTTCCTGATTTTCCCAAAAAGCAATAGTGTTCTGGCCATTGATGCCTTGAATGTTTCCTGAAATTGAATAGCTGTAGCATTCAAAGGTTATTGTGCTACAGACAGACAGACAGACACAAATAGAAATGGTATCAGGTTGAGTGTAATGCTTTTGTAAGCTCAGGCAACCATAGTGCAATTCCTTCACTCACCACTAACAGGCAGCCTCTTCTGGGTAGAATTCTGTTTTTTGACAAATAGTAACACTGCACAAGTTATGCATACACACTGAGAAGAAAACATACAGTACCCCTAAAATATATTCATTTTTTTCCACATGACAACTTATTTTGTTCTAGAAGTGGCAGTCCTTCAAGAAATGTGCAGTTCCAAACCCCTAAGACTACGAAAGAAGAATTTATAAATTTGTAAAGATTTGCCACTTCTGCATTACCACAGATATACAAGCAAGCAGGAATATAGACTGGTTTCTTTTAATACACTCATGTTTATTATCCTCTTGTCTTGAGTCTAAAAGCCACATATTAAATGTTCTCAATTCACCCATGAGAACACATACTTTTAGGGTAAGATCTAGTACTAATATGGTGTCTTACATGTGCAAAGTGCTTTACATTATTGCAAGACTTGGCAATACTGGCAGATCAGCAGGCTTGAATCAGCCAAGACGATTAATTTTCATACTGTCCATACGTGGGAGGCCGTGTGATCTAGCGATTTTGCACAGGACTGGAAGACAGGCAACTCTGTATTCCAATCCTGGTTCTGCTGCTAATTTACTCTGTAATCTTTGGGCACATCATTTAATCTTGGTGTGTCTCAGTAACCCCTCTGTAAAATGGAGGTAATTATGCTTTCCTGCCTAAGACTGTTAGTGAATGATCTTTCATATTTCCTATGGGATATGCTGGATATCCTTTTCTCACAATCAGTAGTATGTTACACCACATGTAATATCATTTAAGTCAATGGGACTATTTGGTGTAGGCTACTAATTGATATGAGTCACAGGGCACAGCTCTCTCACCACTCTTGACACAGTACTATGTCACAGTTTCCTTTCCTGTGCCCAGAGCTATTCAGCCATTGCACAATAGGTGATTCAGTTAATGTTTCCCCTCTTGGGGTTTGCTTTGTTTAGCCCAAACCAACCTTTTTACTGGCCGACCCACAGCACAATCAGTCCTTCCCTAGCTAGCCGAGTTTCACAAATCAGTCCATCTGCCCATCCCAAGGCTCCCACTGTCCTTCTAGCCCTAAGAAAATCTCCCAGCATTTCCTGTTCTTTCTAGGGTTCTCTCACAGACTTTCCACCTGGCTATGGGGAGAACTCCCCTCCAGATCATATCCTGACCTTGAATCTCACCTAAACTAAGACTAGGCAACCCCCCCTTTTTAAAAAGCAGGTGAACTTCAATCTGTATTCATCTGATCATAGGCCTGTGATCTCACCTTGTTTACATGCTTCCTATGGTCTAGATTTCATCTACCATTTCTGTCCCATGCATCAGGGGAAAACCAGACACAGGTGGAGCTGTGTCCATACTCCCTTAAAGGGGCCTTCCCACCCTGTGACATTGAGTAAGGGTAATCTAGCCCTATAAATTACTTACCATGTGAAATATGTATACTTTTTGGTTATTCACATGCTTGGAAAGCCAAGCACACTTTGGGACAGCTTTCCTATATGCGCAGTCCCATTAAATAAGATAATTGATCTGTACATCACTTATTACAAGTAGAAATAGTCCAACATAGCACATTTCAAATTAAGTGCTATTCATGATACTAATTCCTCTCAAATAATCTCTTAAAGCCCAATTCTGCCAACCTTTTTCAAACTGAGGAGTGATAGCACCTAACCCCACAAGAAGTGCCACTGATTTCAACAGGACTACTTGCAAAGTAAGGCATTACTCAGCATGAAGAAAGATGGTGGAATCTGGCCCTTATTTATCAATCATTTCTCCACTAAAGATCTTACATTTCAGTCATAGTCCTGTTAAAGTTGTATCCATAAACCACAGATTAATAATAAACAGGATTCAGAAAACATGGGGATATACACCTTAAAAGCCTTAATGTGGGTAAAGGAAAGATAGACAGGCCATTCTTCAGTTCATAATTACCTTCTTAACATGCTCTGTGTGAAAGGTCTTATTCTGCGTGACTTGAAAAGCTGACCGTACCAGGAGCTGATCACTCCAGCCTTATACAGTATCACATATGCTAACTTTACAAGTATTTGCATTAAAGTAGACTTCAAAACAATTGGCAAAAATAAAAATTATGACATCAGATTAAGAAAAAGAAATATAATATCTCACAAGTTTCCTTTATTGTTTGTGGAAAGTTATTTTCCATAATTAAATAAACCAATAATTCTAATGCTTTGAGAAGGTTAAAGACCAGGGCAACTGGGATGTAATCACAACAGAAGGTTAAAAAAATAAACAGCATCTGTTTATATATTTCTGTGCAATTTATTTTCTTAAATTCTATTTTACAGCCGCACTAGAAAAGCTGGAAGAATACTTCAGTATTCGCACCCTGTATTTCATTGCATATCTTGCTTTTGGACTTGGTACAGGCCTGGCTACACTCTCCAGAAATATCTATGTGATTTTATCTCTATGCATAACTTATGGTATTCTGTTTTCAACACTCTGCACACTCCCTTATTCTCTGTTGTGTGATTACTACCAGAGTAAAAAGGTACGTTTCCTACTACTACATGTTTTTAAACCATAATGTGCAGAAGTTTCTACAGTACCCATAGCTAAGACAACCTTCTGCCAAGACAGATCATGTTAAACTAGAAATTTTCACTCCTTTTCTTTTTCTGCTGCACATACAATCAGTTAGAATTAACTTGTTTTAAAAATCTCTTTCTACTATGTGGACAGCCATGGGTAGAAAGGGAACTGAATCTTCTTCATCTCTATTGATTTTCCTTTGCCCTTCCCCCCCTTCCCAGCCTCTTTATGCTTACTTCTTTTTCCTTCTCCTTTTCCCTCTGCTGCATATTGCTGAGAAGCTGAAGATTTATTTTAAGTTATTTTTTCATAGCTCAGTCTGTGCTGGCCTGGACACTATTAATGCTCCTTTACTGGTGTTTGGCAGAATCTGATCAGGAAGCATAAGAACAGCCATACTGGGTCAGACCAATGGTCCATCTAGCTCAGTGTCCTGTCTTCCGACAGTGGCCGATGCCAGAGGGAATGAACAGAACAGGGCAATCACTGAGCGATCTGTCCTGTTGTCCAGTCCCAGTTTCTGGCAGTCAGAGAATTTAGGACACCCAGAGCATGGGGTTGCATCCATGACCATCTTGGCTAGCAACCGTTGAGGATCTATCCTCCATGAACTTATCTAATACTTTTTTATAACTCAGTTATACTTTTGGCCTTCAGAACATTGCTTGGCATGGAGTTCCACAGGTTATTGATTCGTTGTGTGAAGTACTTCCTTATGTTTGTTTTAAACCTGCTGCCTATTAATTTCATTGGGTAACCCTGGTTCTTGTGTTATGTGAAGGGGTAAATAACACTTCCTTATTCATTTTCTCACCACTTATGATTTTATAGACCTCTATCAGATCCCTGCCTTAGTTGTCTCTTTTCTATGCTGAACAGTCCCAGACTTTTTTAATCTCTCCTCTTATGAAAGCTGTTCTATACCCCTAATAATTTTGGTTGCCCTTTTCAATACTTTTTCCAGTTATAATACATCTTTTTTGGGATGGGGCAACCAGAACTGCACACAGTATTCAAGGTGTGGGCGTACCATGGATTTATATAGTGGCATAAAGATATTTTCTGTCTGATTAGTTAGCCCTTTCCTAACGGTTCCTAATATTGTTAGATTTTTTGACTGCCACTGCACATTGAGCAGATGTTTTCAAAGAACTATCCATGATGACTTCAAGATCGCACTCGAGTAGTAACGGCTAATTTAGATCCCATCATTTTGTATGTATAGTTGGGATTATTTTTCTAATATGCATTCATTAGTTATCAACATTGAATTTCCAAAGCCACACTGAGCACAACAGAATGGATGAGCTAGAAATACCACAAGCAGTCAAGAGTGAGGGTGGGATCAAAAAAGATACATATGCACCTAGATCCTGTTTTTCGGTGCCTGAGTCCCCTTTTTAGAATCATAGAATATTAGGGTTGCAAGAGACCTCAGGAGGTATCTAGTCCAACCCCCTGCTCAAAACAGAAGCAACTCCAACTAAATCATCCCAGCCAAGGCTTTGTCAAGCCAGGCCTTAAAAACCTCTAAGGATGGAGATTCCACCACAATTTAGGCACAATTGCGATTCACAACCTCCTACTCCGCTGCCGCCTAACTTTGTAGGTATCTAAACTTGCTCTTTACTAAACTTTACCGTTAACAATTTGCGTATTTTGCTCTGGTTTGCTAAACTACTCTCTCTCTTTCTCCTATGGTTTTCTTTCCCTTTGAACAGTTCGCAGGCTCGACTATCGATGGTACCAAGCGGGGGATGGGCGTGGATCTCTCTCTCCTGAGCTGCCAGTATTTCCTAGCTCAGCTTCTCGTTTCCATCGTGATGGGACCCATCACTTCCATGGTGGGCAGCGCTAACGGGGTGATGTATTTTGCCAGCCTCGTGTCTTTCATTGGCTGTTTGTTTTCCTCCCTGTGTGTCATATACGAGATCCCAGCCAACGAGGAGCTGGCGGAGGAGCAGCAGCCGTTGGTGCGGAGCGCGTGAAGGGCAGGATCGGCCGGCAGCGAGGGGCCGGGGGGCCGGGGAAGCGGCACTAATCGTATGAGACACGTTACAATAAAAGCAACTCAGACGAACAGTGCTTGTGCCTCCGTATCCCTCCGGGCGGCAGGTGCCGTGGTCCCCCCGGGGCGCTGCGCAGGCGGGCGGGGGAGGCGGAGCGGGGCTGTCCCAGAGGTCGCCCGGTGTCGGGGGAGAAGGCCACGTCGGACCCGACTGATTAGCACCGCCTATTACTCGCTGGTAGCCAATAGACTCCGAGTATCAGAGGGGTAGCCGTGTTAGTCTGAATCTGTAAAAAGCAACAGAGGGTCCTGTGGCACCTTTGAGACTAACAGAAGTATTGGGAGCATAAGCTTTCGTGGGTAAGAACCTCACTTCTTCAGATGCAAGACTCCAAGAGTGTTGTGACGTCACCTCTGATTGGCTCCTGAGATTGCGAGCCCTCCCTCAAAGGGGGCGGGGTGCCGCACTTACTCCGTCTCTCCGCCTCCCTCCCGTTGTCCTGTTCGGCAGTGCCCGCCCCCAGCCCCGCCCCTAGTGTCCGGGCTCCTCTCGTAGCACTTCGCAGGCGCCGGTGTCGAGTGAGTCTGCGGGAGCCCAGAGAATGGGGCTGAGCTCCCGACGCTGCCCGGCACGAATCGCCGCTGGGTCCCTCCGCCGGCTGCGGGCGTGTGGCCCCGGGGCGGGGGTCTTCAGAATTCATACCATGAACACAGGAGCTTCGGTCCTCCAAGGATATTGGGGATCGCAACAGAAAACCTGCTGTCTTTTCAGAGAACATGTGTTTCAGTGCAAACTACTTGGTTGTTACCTACAAGTTTTTCAGCTGGTTTGTGACTCGCTCCAACCAATCCAGTGTTTGAGTCCCTCCGTGTTCAAACCAACAATGAAAAATTGCAGCTGTTTGGGAGTGGGTCATAGCAGCCCACTTGCTCTAAATACTTGCTGTCCCCTGCTCGTTTGTTCTATGCAGCCACTATACAAAAGTAGGGTTTGTGGCACAGCCACCAAAGGCAAGCCAGATAGCTTCATGCCCTCCGTGATCATTGTTCATGAGCAGATGTGCTGAAGGAAAGAGCACATACCGTCCTGTCATAATAGTTTTCAGATGTGCTTAGAAGTCTAGCCAAATACTCCAAAGGCATCAGGGAAAAGTTTTGGTTTCACTTAATAAAACTGCAGTGACCTGCTCTTACACAGCAACAATAGATGATTCTTTATGATGGAATTGAAGTCTGTACTCTGCCATGACATAGCTGTAAGACCTTCTCAATGTATTTACATTATTTAAGTCAGTTTTGCTCTACCATCATTAAGGGTCTTCAGTAAAGAAGGCTACGTATTCTGCGCTAGCTGTGATTGAGGGATGCAGAAACTAGGGGTTTGTTAGTGCAACATGGTGTATGTGCAACACTTAACCAGCCCTGTCTGCACTTACCGAGGTGTACCATGGTATCCTCTATCAGCACCTGAAGGAGGCAAAAGACCATCAATAAATCCCCTGCTACTCCCAGCAACAGAGCAAGGGGCCACCCCATTGCAACAAGTCCCGAAATACTGCATGGAGTAGGCCCTGGAGGGGGCTGGGATTGTGTGAACAGAGCCTCTTGTACTGGTGGAGACACATTACAGCAGCCCCAGGCAGAGGGTAGTTTATCAAGGCTATATGCCCATAACTCTAGCTTTAAAACTCCAGAGCATGTGGAAGGTGGGGCCCTGACTTAGTTGACAGAGATGAGAATCTGAGAGTTGTAGTTTGAAAACCCCAAGGGAATCACAGGAGCTTAGTTGCAAGACCTGCCTCACTTCTTCCACCACCCCCTGCCCCAAATCAGAAAAGATGTAGATTCTTTCCCTCTCATGAGCCTCTGCACACCTCCCCCATCCCCATTGGCCAAGGGTATCCTGGGACCTGAAGTTTCAAAGCATATTCCCCCCCGCCCAGGAGCGTCGCCAACTTTTCTGATACCCTAGGCGGCGGAAGGTCCTGCCCCGAAATGCCGCCCCCCCCACAGAGGCAACGGAAGGTCCCGCCACCGAAGTACCGCTGCGGTCGCCGCCCCCCAAATCGTGGCAACCACCTAGGTCGCCTAATGGGTTGCGCCTGCCCTGCCCCCGCCCCCAAAACCAAAATACTTCCCGGGGGATCAGGAGCTATGGTCTGGGATTTAGAATCATAGAATCATAGAATATCAGAGTTGGAAGGGACCTCAAGAGGTCATCTAGTCCAACCCCCTGCTCAAAGCAGGACCAATTCCCAGCTAAATCATCCCAGCCAGGGCTTTGTCAAGCCGGGCCTTAAAAACCTCCAAGGAAGGAGACTCCACCACCTCCCTAGGTAACGCATTCCAGTGTTTCACCACCCTCCTAGTGAAATAGTTTTTCCTGATATCCAACCTGGACCTCCCCCACTGCAACTTGAGACCATTTGCTCCTTATTCTGTCACCTGCCACCACTGAGAACAGCCGAGCTCCATCCTCTTTGGAACCCCCCTTCAGGTAGTTCAAGGCTCCTATCAAATCCCCCCTCATTCTTCTCTTCTGGAGACTAAACAATCCCAGTTCCCTCAGCCTCTCCTGAACCTAAAGATGGCTGTGACTGCTAATGTGAAGGTTGCTG